TTCTATCTATGTTCATACTTTTTTCTTCTATTATCTTTATCCAGTTTTAGGATTAGCACAATGTTGAGTTCCTAAAATGAGGGGAGAAGTATTCCTTCTTTTTTCTGCTTTGTTTGATATAATTTATTAGTTAAAGTGTATAGCCTGCTGTTGTCATATAGGTAGGTTTTCAAGCTAGGAATATACTTTCTTTAATAGGTGCTATTCAAATTTTATATGTCCTCCAGAGTTTCATTAATTCTTCTTCCAGGGTACTTCTTAGAAGTTGTCAAATTTATTTCAAAATAGATTTTTGTAATACGCTTTCTATACCTCTATAAATTCTGTAAAATCTGTGGTAATGTCTCCTAGATCTTGATATTGTAATTTTAAAAATGTATAATTGCTGTGTAATAGGAAGTAAAAGTTTAAAGGAGCAGAGGAAGTGGGAGGGGTAGGGGAAAGGGAAGAAGGGAAAAGAAAAAATATGAGAAAAGGAAAAAAATGGAAACAAAGTCTTTGCAAATAGGGAAGGGTGAAGGGGGTGAAGGGAGGGCAGGGGAAGGGGAAAAAAAAATAAGAACCAAGATACTCATGTAATGGTACAAGATCCCAATGATGTAAGTAACTGTATTTTATACGTAAAATGTACCAGTAAACTTAATGGGGAAAAAAAAATCTACACATAGGAATATAATAGTTAAGATTTCAGAAACCCAACAGAAGAACAAAATTCTACAAGCAGTGAGAGAAAAGCAACAAATCACATACAAAGGAAAGCCCATCAGAATCACAGCAGACTTCTCAGTGCAAACCTTTAAGGCAAGAAGAGCTTGGAGTGACATATTTCAAGCCCTAAAGGAAAATAGCCTCCAAGCCAGGTTGTTGTACTCTGCAAAACTATCTTTTAAAATTGATGGAGAAATAAGATACTTTCATGACAAAGAGCACCTTAGGAACTTCCTGAATACCAAACCAGCACTCTAAAACATTTGAGACAATATCCTAGGAAAAGACAACAAGGATCACAACCCCAGGTAGCCCAGGAGAATGAATCCATTGGGCATGACAAGAAATTAAAAACAAAGAAGGAGAATCCAACAAAAACAAAAAGTCATGTCAATGATAAGTCAATACATATCAGTTACTCAATTCACCAATCAAAAGAAACAGACTGGCACAACGGGTCAAGAAGCAAGATCCAACAATATGCTGCATACAAGAAACAATTCAAAAAGAAACTCATAGACTGAAAGTTAAAGGGTGGAAAGCAATACTCCATGCAACAGGAACCCAAAAAAAAGCAGGAGTAGCTATCCTCTTTGCAGATCAATTGGATTTTAAACCAACACTGATTAAGAGAGACAAAGAAGGACACTACATCCGTGTAAAGGGAACAATCCAAGAAGAGATGACAATCATAAACATATATGCACCAAACACCTGTGTGCCCAACTATATAAAACAAATACTAACGGACATGAAAAATCAAATAAACACTAATACAATAGTAGTGGGGGACCTCAATATCCCACTGTCACAAATAGATAGATCAAACTAGACAAAAAATAAGTAACAAAATATTAGAACTCAATCAAACTCCTGAACAAATGAACTTAACAGATGTTTACAGAGTGTATTCTGTTTACAAAGTGTATTCTGTGTAAATCAGAATACACATTCTTTTCATCTGCACATGGGTCGTTCTCCAAAATAGACTACATACTCACTCATAGAACATATTTAAGTGCAAAGGAATTGAAGTTAGACCCTGTAGATTATCAGAACATAGGGCAATGAAATTGGAGATCAATAGCAAAAGAAACCGCAAAAATTTCATAAACATATGGAAATTGGACAACAAACTTCTGAATAACCAAAGGGTCACAGAGGAAATTAAAGAAGAAATCAGACAGTTCCTACAATTAATTGACAATGACAATACAACATATTGGAATTTGTGGGACACAATGAAAGCAGTCTTACAAGGGAAATTCAGTGAATACTCAGGAAAACAGAGCAAGCCCAATTAAACAATCTGATGCTGAACCTCAAGCGTCTAGAAAAGGAAGAGCTGGACAAACTCAAAGCTCATATAAGGAAGGAAATTACAAAGATCAGAGCAGAAATCAAATCAATGGAGACTAAGACAATGAAAAAACAATTCAATTAAAAACAGCAAGCTGGACATGGAGTCACACATGTGTAATTCTAGCTGCTAGGGAGCCTCACTGAGGTAGCAGAATCGAACTTCAAGGACAGTCTTAGACAACTACCTCAAAAATAAAAGCTGAGGATATAGCTCACTGATAGAGTGCTTGCCTATCATATACAAGGTCCTGGGTTCCATCACCAGTACCACCCAAATACAAAAGAAACAAAAAACCTGGGCAAATGATCTGAACAGAGAGTTCTCAAGAGGACATATAAATAGCCTAAAATTATATAAGCAAATGCTTAACGTCCTTAATCACTGGGGAAATGTAAATCAAACTCATGAGATACCAGTGCACTGCAGTTAGAGTGGTTATCATCAATATGAAAAATAACAAATGCTGGCAAGGATGCAGAGAAAAGGATACTCTCCTACACAACTGCTGGACATGTAAATATACAGCCACTATAAAATACAGGATGAAAGAAACAGAACTACCATATGATACAGCTATCCCATATATATTCACTCAAAGGAAATTAACCCTGTTTTAAAGAGAAATCTGTACTTTCACATTTACTGCAGCACTATTCACAAAAGCCATGCTGCAGAATCAACCTAGGTGGTCCATCAACAGATAAATGAATAAAGAAAATGTAGTACGTATATCCATGGAAATATTACTCAACCATTAAAAAAATTAGCAAAATTCTTTCATTTGCAACAACATGGATGGAACTAGAGGACATTATGTTAAGTGAAATAAGTGTCAGGCACAGAGAGACACACACTGCATACTGTCACTTATATGTGCAAGCTAAACTGGATCTCAGAGAAACAAAACAGTGGTTAGTGGCTCATGGAAGCATGTGGGAAGAGGGCAGGATGGAGAGAAGAGGCATACAGGGGTGCAATTGGATAGGAGCAAGAACTTCTAATATTCATAGCATAACTATGGTTAGCAACAATTAATTGACTATTTCAGAAAACTAGTAGACATAATTTTAATGTTCCCAATACAAACCAGAGATACACAGGTGAGGTAAAATACTTGTCAATTATCCTGATTTAATCAATACAGGTTGTATTCATGTATTGAAACCTATGCTCTACCCTATAAATGTGCAAATGGTATATGATGGCTAAAGATACATAGAAGTAGCACTAAAACGCAGACAACGGTTCCTGCATTTACTAACCAAAAAGAACATAACTGCTACCAGAGTTATTAGGGTAGGAGGTTTCACTCACCCAAGGCCACCAGATTATTGTAGGTCTCCAGCATCACTTCTCTGTAGAGGTTCCTCTGGGCATCACTGAGATCCTTCCACTCCTCCCATGTGAAGTCCACAGACACATCCTCAAATGACACCAGCCCCTGCAAGGGGACATTTCTCATCAACCCAAATCTTCAGCATTGGGCCAGAAGAACAGGAAAGTGGGTGTTCCCTCTTCTATGTGAAACTGTGTCTTACGTGTGTTTTTTGTAAGATGCAGCTTGATCTGTACTTCACATTATAGGAGGAAAAAAATCAGAAATATCTGGCCTCTATGCTAATTTAGTATTCAAAAATAATCCCAGCACCCTGGGACGCTGAGGCAGGAAGATTCCAAGTTGGAGCCTAGCCTGGGCAACTTAGTGACTTAGCAAGACCCCCTCTAGAAATAAAAAAAAATTTAGGGCCGGGGATTTAGCTCAGTGGTTTCGCTGCCTGCTACACAAGTATAAGGACCTGAGTTCGATCCCCAGTACCAAAAAA